CGCCCCCGCGAGGACCGGGGCTCCCCGAGCCAGCTCACCGGCTCCCTTGGCAGGGTGGGGGCAGCCGCGCGCCCGGCCTGGACTGTTTGCAAGTGTGGGCAGCGGGGTCCCCCCACCCCCCGGCCTGGGGCCAGAAACGGTGACTAGGAAGTGTCCAGAGGTCAGGCAGTGCCCAGGGTCAGGTGGGACACTGGGCAGTGGCTGAGGGAGGCGGCCTCGGCCCCTTCTCCTCCCTCCAACCTCCTCTCCAGCCCTCACCCTCCCTATGGCCTGGACTTCCGGGCAGCTGGCCCCGATAGCCCTCTGGAAACATGGGCAGGTGTGCACTACCTGTCAAAGTGAGACCGTGGGAGCAGGCTGCCCACAGCCCTGGTGGCGCAGCACCAGTGTGGCCTGCTGCCCCAGAGGTAGACAGTTTGAACCCACCCACCGCTCCAAGGGATGGTGTTTCCCAAAACCCCGCCCTGCAGGGCTGCTTTGAGTTGGAACTGACTCAACAGTTGGCGCTGGGAGCCCTGGGGTGCTTGCTAAAGGAGCCCAGCCCTGTGGCTCTCGCTGCAGGTGAGAGTGATGGCCGCCTGGAGGCCTGGAGCTGGCTGACGGGCAGCAGGCTGGCCCTCGCTGGTCTGGCCGCAGTTTGTCTGTCCTTCCCATTGTGGGCTGGCAATGAGAGGGCCACAGCAGGCTGGGGGCCGTCCGACAGGATTCCCCAGGCCCCCTGATGTGGGTGCACAGAGGGTGGGACCTGGGCAGGTGACTGCTGACCGGTCTGCAGGAATGCATCCTGCCAAGGTTTGCCTTCCAGGGCCCTCAGGCCACTGGGTGGGGTGGGAGGGTGCAGAGGTCCAGGTGTGCCACCCTGGAAGGTGCCATCATGGTGGCTCTTAGCCAGAGGGGGGAGCGGACAGCTCTTCCCCCATCACACTGGGCCCAAGTCCCTGTCCCTGCCATCGGAGTGAGTGTGCTTCTGACCGCGTGGAGAGGCTGGCAGTTTGTGATCAGGCTAGGTTGCGTTTTCTAGGAGGTTAAAGTGGGGCTGGGGTGACAGCAGTCAGTGGTGGAAGACGCTCCCCTGGAGGTATCTGAACCCTTTGCTGTTGGGGTATCCTGGCTGACCCGGCCTGTGTGGACAGCGGTGAGGAGCTGGTGGCCGGAGACCATCACACAAGTGCGGTACGACCACCATGTACAGGAGCACGGCGCCCAGGCACTCAGTGCTGGCTGGCAGACAGTCCGGTACCTCTGTAGCCCTGACCGGTGCCAGGTCAGCTGGCCTCCTGGGAGACAGAGCCAGGGACACGTGGACATGCCAGGTTGCTCTCTGTGATGACGGAGGCTCCTTCACTGGATCCCTCCGCTGGTGCCTGAGTCGGGATAAGGTTACTCTGGAGAACTGCTGCGCGTCCCAGGTGGCATGGCTGCCTGGGGCTCAGGTGCACAGGGTCACTGCTGCACATTTAATGCCCTGGTGGTGGCTGACCGTGCCCCTGGGGCCTCGGCGTCTGGTTCTGCCACTCGCTCCACGCAGAGCAGGCCCGGCTCCATGAGCTTCCAGTTCTGGCTTGCTTCTGCCCTGGGGCTTCATGGGGTATCCAGGCCTGGGTGTCGCCCCTTTAGGGGTCTCCTACACCCCACCCCCATATGAGACCCCTCCCCACCCATAGGGCTCCTCCCTACCTTGGTTGGGGGTGGGTGGCCGCCTGTGGCAACCTTCTTTGTAGGGGGATGGGGAAGAAGGCTGAGGCCAGGTACCTAGCTGGAGTCCGAGCCGGACAGTGCTTTGGCCTTCCTTGGTGCACGCTGCTGTCCCTAGAGGGACCTTGTCCCCATCAGAATCCCAGCCAAGGGTCTCTGCTGTGGCTCATCTGTTGGAGGGGCACCGACCCTCTGCCCAGAGGTCTGGGCGGAGCCATCACTTCACGTTCTCTTCTGGTCCAGCGGGACCTGGGGCAGGCGGCTGTCCCCAGAAGTGGGGGTGGGGGGATGTTGTGAGGGGCAGGTCAAGAAGACATGGGGATTCTCCTCCTGGGCCTCCCCGGGGGCCAGCCCTACCTGCTCACACCCTCTCATCTTGCTTGCCTTCCAGCCTGCGCCATCTCCGGCCTCTTCAACTGCGTCACCATCCACCCTCTCAACATCGCGGCAGGGGTGTGGATGATGTGAGTAGCCGGGGTCTGGGGTGGGCCCTTACTCCCCGTAGAGTCAGGGCTAGGAAGCCCCGGGGCCACTCTCCAGGGGGTCTGATGTCTCCTCCAGGTAGGCCTTACCAAAGGTGCCCAAGGCCACCATGTGGACAGGGCCCATCAGACTGCGAGGGCCTACTGGAGGGAGGAGCCTTCTGGGTTCAAGGTCTGCAGTGGACAAACATCAGGGACAGGGCCCTCAGTGAGTGGCCAGCAGGTGACTTACTGGGGTGGGCCCCTAGCCACAGGCAGCCAGGGCAGGCCCGCCCACCCACTGGAAGGCAGGGTAGATCTGGAGGTCAGAAATGTGGGTGTGGCACTTGGGCTCTGACTGGAGGTGCTAAGGAGAGATGGCCTCTGCCCCTGAGGTCGGGGTGACCCCAACGTGCCTCATGCCAAGCCCTGCCTTCTCCTCTTCCCCACTCTTTGTGTGAGCCCCACCTTTCCCCACAAGGACCCCAGGCTTTGGTGCCATGCTGAGTTCTAGGAGGATTTCATCTTGATACCTACCCTTCAGGCCCCAGGGACGTGTGTGGAGGGGGGCAGTGGGGAGGAGCACTAGTCAGCTCGCTGCACGGGCTTGGGCCGTCTGTGCTCCATCACCCTCGTAATCCCGTCCCCCAGCATGAACGCCTTCATCCTGCTGCTGTGTGAGGCTCCCTTCTGCTGCCAGTTCGTCGAGTTTGCAAACCTGGTGTCAGAGAAGGTGGACCGGCTGCGCTCCTGGCAGAAAGCGGCCTTCTACTGCGGGTGAGGGGCTGCCTGGGGGAGGGTGGGTGGTGCAGGGACAAGCCGGCCTTCAGGCAGTGAAGCCGGGCACGGTTAGCAGACTGGGTGAGCGCCCTGAGGTGGTTCTGTGAATGCCCTGGAGAGTGACCCCTGTTCTGAGCCTGAAGTACACGTTTCCCTCACATTCACGTCCCCAAGGGCCTTCACCCCTGGGTCACCAGGACAGAGTCAGGGACAGGAGCTTCCAGAGCGGGGCTGCACCCAGCAGCAAGACTCTTTGTGACAGAGGTCTTCAGAGAGGAGGAGAGCCCCCAGGGTCCCTGCTCTGTACAGAGGCCCAACAGTGCTGGCAGGAGGAGCCTGGGTGCCCCACCATGCTAAGATGTCACCCAGTGGGGCAGCTTGGAAGCGCAGGGCAGCCACGCTGTCAAGAACCGTCCCCATCAGTATTTAAGCTTGAGTGACGCCGCTCTGGTGAACTGTGGGGCCGCTAACCTCGAGGCTGGTGGTTCAAACTCACTGGCTGCCCCAAGGGAGAAAGCAGAGGCTGTTTGCACCCATGTAGACTGGCCGCATTGGACACCTTCTCTAGCTCTCCGTGGAGCCGTGGTCGTGCAGCGGCACGTGCGGCCGATGCATGCAGGGTGGCAGGTGGAAATCAGTAGCCCCGCTGCAGGAGAAAGATGGGGCCTTCTACTCCCATAGAGTTACGGTTTTGGAGCCCCACGCGGGCTGTTCTGCCCTGCCCTCTAGCGTTGCTGTGGGTCAGTGAGTGGGGCACCCACTGCCACCAGAACCAGACAGATGTGGCTTGGGCTATTCCTGGAACCTTGCGACAATGAGACCCAGTGTCGTATGCATTTTACTTTGGGGTGGCTTCTTTGTTGAGACATGGCTGGAGCCCTGGTGGTGTTGTGGTCCCACTTTGGGCTGTGATGGGCAAGGTCAGCAGTTCAAAACCCCCATTCGCTCCTCAGGAGGAAGACGAGGCTCTCTACTCCCATTAGAGTCAGTCTAAGAACCCCACCAGGACAGCGCTCCCCTGTCCTGTAGGGTCTCTGAGTCGGCATCCCTCAGTGGCAGTGAGTGAGTGATGGCACCGTGGTTATCCCTGGGCTGCTACCAGCAAAGCCAGCAGTTCAACACCACCAGCCGCCCTGCGGGGGAAAGACTAGCCTTTCTATTTCTGTAAAGGGTTACAGCCTTGGAAATGCACCAGGGCAGTTCTGCTGTGTGAGTCGGCATCGACTCGGTGGTGAACTTGGGTTTTGGAGTGACTGTCTGCATAAAACCAGCCCCAGCCTGTTGCTGCTGGTTCAGACTCTCACCTGCGGGGCAGAGCAGGACTGCCCACAGACGCCAGGGCTGGGAATGTCTATGGAGCACTTGGCCTCCTCGTTCTCCTACGGAGCCGCTGCTGGTTCAAACCACCGACTGCTTAATCACAGCGCCACCAGAGCTGCTAACAAGAGATGTGGGTCCTTCGGTGCATCTGAGGGAAGGGTTAGAACCGATGACCTCTCCACGTGGTCTGGCCCCGGAGTCCAGAAAGCCGCACGACCACCGTCACAGCCTCCCTCTGGGTGGGGTCTCCTGGCCAGAGAGGACCGTGCACAGGCTAGCAGATGGGCAGGGGCTCCGGGCGGCCAGGGCTGGGAGTGGACCCTGGGCCTGCATCTCTCCCCAGGATGGCCATTGTCCCCATTGTCATCAGCCTGACGCTGACCACTCTGCTGGGGAACGCCATCGCCTTTGCCACCGGAGTGCTGTACGGACTCTCTGCTCTGGGCAAAAAGTGAGTCTGCCTCCGCTCTCGGGGTGGGGCTGGGGGGCTGAGAGGGTTTTCTGCCCCTGCCTCGGCTCTCTGTGGGGCTGGGGGGCTGAGAGGGGCGCTGTCCTGCCGCCATGGAGGCAGATGCTAAGGGTGCCATGAGGGAAGCAGGGGCTTCCAGGGTAGCCAGCGTCGCCCCATCACAGCCTGCAGCGAGCTCGCTCCCAGAGGCGCCCCTAGGCCTCCAGAGCCCGACACCTCCCCACCTGCACTGGGGGCCAGCATCAGGGCAGGTGTGGGCAGCCTGCCTGCTGACCCCTTCTCGGTCCCCAGGGGCGATGCCATCTCCTACGCCAGGATCCAGCAGCAGAGGCAGCAGGCGGATGAGGAGCAGCTCACTGGGACCCTGGAGGGGGAGCTGTGACACGCACCACGTGGTGCCTGCCTGGCGCTGACACCAGGCTCGGTGTCCCACACCGGACTCCTCCTCCCCCAGTGTCCCTGACTGGGCAGCCAGCAGACATGGGGGCAGTGAGGGGCTGGGCCCCACAGTGGAAACCCCCTCCAACCCTCTCCCCAGCTGGCCTGAAGGGAGCATGCAGTGCCCTCCAGTGGGGCAGCCCAGCTGGGGACCTGCTGCTGGCCTAGGGAGCACCACGGTGGCCGGCCCACACCTCCCGGAGCCAGCCGCCAGCTCACCAGGCAGATCAGGCTGGTAACCCTGGTAACCTCTGTTCATCTGTCGAGGGAGCAGACAGAGGTGGCCGGGCTTCCCCTGGGAGTCCCTTTCCCCACTGCCCTGCTGTCCATCGGGGTGACATACGGTTCTCCCACGGTTTGCCTTGCCCCACCAGGAGCAGCCTGGGACGTCCCTGGACTTGGGGGCCCAGTCTGCCTGCTCCCTGCACCGCCTTTGCCTCAGGCCTAGGGTTCTGCAGGGCAAGAGCAGGTTCTCCTGTCTGAGGGATGGCCATGCCCCCACCAGGCCTCAGTCGAGGCCATTGACCGACTCAGGTTACCCCACAAGGTGCTCCTGCTACAGAACCAGGTGGACATCGCGCTCCCC